GGGCCTTTCAGTTCTGTCGGTCCCCCTGCATTACAAACATTTCTACTATTCTGCTTTATCGACCTTTGAGTTCTGATATCGAATCATTTCGCTTGTTTGGATTTTGTTCCTATCGTTTTCTCATTTTATTCAATATCTTCTTTGTAGGGTGGCAGGCGGGGGATTTGTCGTGGTTGCATACAGTTGCATACACACGGTGCTCATCAGACACCGTAACGATAGATTCAGCCACAAATATCTAGGAGCCACGAATGGTGTCCCATAGCCCCTGGGCTCATTTTACATACATACTCTAGCAAACTCGAAGCTATCTCAATAAAAAAAACTACAGAAAATTCGTATATATCTTCGTATCAAGTGGTATGTATATATGCATAGGTATAGATAGAAGGGGGATGAAATACACACAGCGACACCGATAGGAAACTCCAACTGGGTTTACGCGCCCAGTAACAGAAGGGAGGCACAGATATGACAGGCAATAGCTAATATCCTTATCCAGAAAAGCGGAGAAAAAGAAAGGAAAAAGAAAAGAACACCACCTCCTGCCCCGTGAAAGAGAGACAGAAAAACAAATCCAAAATAGGGGACAAAAACTAACAAGAAACCATATCGACAAAATAATAAGACCGAAGGGCTAACAAAATATAAAGGAAGCTATCGCTTGGATATTGCGTTGGACTTGCGCCAGAGATGTCATAAAGCTCAGAAGTAAGAAATGTTTCGTTGCATTCGCGTCATGTCGTCAATATGCCGGACAGGAAAGGATTGAGGGACTAAAGGGTGAATCGGAATAGGTAGGGGGCGCGGATGCTGTGGTTATGCCGTCTAGGATGGGTTGAGAGGTTAACATAAAAGTTCAAGTTCGCGTAGATACAAGTCAAGTCATCCTTTTGGGAAAAAAAAAAAAAAAAAAAAAAAAAAAAGTAATGCAGCTTCAACTAGTGGAGTGTAAAGGGGGGAAAGGTCATATCAAGGTAGGATTTGAAAAGCCATTTGGTTTTATGCAGTTTGGTCGGAATAAAGTCCTTCAAAATCCAATTGTCCAATCATTCCATTAATACGATCGATCTCTTTGCTAAGATCCTCAGCATTTTGAACAAGACTACTAGCCTCGTCGTATTTGCGCCTGCGGTTCGCATCAGCGATCATCTCAGTTACGAAGAATTTCTGCTCCTCAAGCACGATGAGACGTTCACGAAGGGATTTTTCTTCCGTTTCAAGCGCGGAGATTGCGCTGCTATTGTCACTAGCTAGACTGGCGGTGCTGTTTGCGCTCTCCCCGTTGCCGTATTTTATAGCGGCAAGAGCACTGGTGCCGCCGTTCGCTACTCCGATGTTGGCATTTGGTGGAAGTCTGCTACCATGGGGAGTGGCATGTTTTAGGACTTTGGGGAGCGATTTTAAGGGGAGCATGTGAAGATGCAGGAAATTAGTGGCTTGATGGTATATGGCTTTTTGAAGTTTGGCTTGTGTTGGAGATTGTGTGGGGAGGTCGCGGATTCGTCTGGCGGCAATGTCATACTGAGCGAAAGAATCCATCAAACGCTTACGAACTTTGGAAGCCTCAGTAAGCTGGGTGGGGGAAGGTGCTTTTTCCGGGTCTCTGTATTTGGATGGGAGAGTAAGTGTGACGAGAACAATGTGGAGGCTTTGGAGTGGTTGATCAAACTGACTGTAATGCGGACAGTAATTTCTGGAATCTTGGTAATAACAATCGAATGCCTTTTTCGAACTGTACAAGATTCTTATACGCCCTAAGATCCGGAGGTTCTTTGAGGAGGTCTTGCGCGACATCCCTTCGGCTAAATATAGTAGATTTACACTCTTTACAAAGACGAATGTCAATGTTGAGTTTCGTACCGGTGGTTGCTGGTTTCTCCAAAACTTGAGTCGTTCACTGATCAGCACACAGGGAAACGAAACTGGGATGAATAAACATACTTGGAGAGATTTCTAAGCAAACTTCGGAAGAGCATCCTGTTACTGGATCGCCACAGACCACTCTCCCACATGTTCGACAATGATGTCTCCGAAAAGTGTAAGTAGTGAAATCTTGTTGGCAGAATGGACATCTTAGAACATTCGCATCGTCTTCCCAACTAACAACGGATTGTTCAAGCGTTTTCCTGTGGTCATTTTGCCATGTTATAGACCATCGCTTATTGGCCCCTGATTGAATCTGGTCTGCGGGAAGAGTAGAGAGTAGCTGAGTGAGCCGAGTAAGCCGTTTTTCCAGCCGTGAGACTTCCAAAAATGCCTTGTCCACTTTTTGCCTCCGTAGCTCAGCAAATTCCGCAGTGTGGTCGCGTTCCTGGCCTTATTAACGGATTAGATACAAACGCCCAATCCCACGAAGATATGGAGCGTACCATTACGGTTATTATACCCTTCCCTTGACTTGTAGCAAGTCTCACATACCCTGCACCAGAATCCGCGAACTGGTTCATGTTGAGCAGACCGAGACAGCTTCATTTGATACATAGTATGCTCTTCGCAAAACAGCTTCCCGCACTTGCGGCAGTTGACGCTGCCACTACTGACCGTAAGTCGCTTCTGGCACATTGGCTCCAAACATACATCATACATGCCACGCCCTTGCCAATGCTCTCTTGTGACCACTTCGTCTGGGTCCAGTATCCTTGGTAGCTCCGGTCCTGTCTGACCTGACGAGATTCGGGTGGGGGCCGAAACAGATACCGCTGCGTTGTAGTTTGATTCAAATACATCGAGGCCCTTTAGCTTCTGATTCAGCACAGCTAGTGGTTGGAATCGTTTCGCCTTTTCTACTTGGATCTGAAACCAGTCCTTCACTTCAACTTGCCGATCACCCTCGAGATTCGCATGTGTATCATCAAGGTGTCTAGCTCAAACGTTCACGATTAGTATGAAGTATGTAATCAAGCGCGAGCATATAGTTACCTATTCAGTTGCAGCAAGGTAAGCTGAGAAAAGCTAGTCAGCATCATAATGGGTCTTTCCAAAGGAAGAAAGAAAGAAAGAAAGGAAACAAAAAAACCAAAATACATATGAAAACAAAACGAAATAAAATGGAACGATGAATTGCTTTCCAGCATGGAAAGAAACCGGATGTAAACTGACCATCTCTTCGTTGCAAATTGGGCAAGCGAGCCTGGAGCTTCCTGCCGCCGCCGCAACTCGGGATATAGATGAATCTCCATTTTCTAGCGATATTCTCGACACTATATCCTGCGTATCTACTGACATATGA